GCATTCTTGAAAAACTCGAAAGTCAATCTTCCAACTCAAAACGAAACTTGTACTTTGAAAATGCCTAAAGAGAAGACAGTAACAACCGGTACTTCAATTTGTTCATAAAAAAAAAAAAAAAAAAAAAAAAAGTACCATGTACGCTGTACTCTGAAAAACAAAGTACCGTGCGGGACCTTTCAGTCCAACACCCTGGCACTCCCCGACGCGTTTCGACCGGAGCCAGATCCGGTCATCCACAGGGGGATGCTTCGAATTGAGAGAGAGAGTCTGAGAGACTAATGGAATACCTCTGCTTCGTATTAATAGTCGGTTTTCCTAGGCGTTAGCCCGTTCTCTAGTAACCCCTAGCAGGGCGGCATCAGGTCCCGTGCTCAGAATCTAGAAGAAGGCCTACCTACCGTACCCAAAAACTCCTCTACCCATCTGTTCACTACTGAGCCTGTTTTTTCAGCGGCGACAAAAACCAACAGCAGAAAGACATGAAAACAAAAGTCAGAAATTAAAAACAAAAATAAAACAAAATCACCCCCCCAAAACAACTACCGAGTCGCCCTGAATTGTGTAATTCCCAAATTGTATATACTTCTCTGAACTCAGTGTTCAAAAGCTGAACGTAGGACTGAGCCATTCATCTTAGAAACAAAGCTCAGCAGTCCGCTTGTTGTTATTTTTGCCCTACACTTAGCAACACAAAAATGAAAAAATCAGAAGCTAAAAACAAAAACAAAGTGTGTTCGAAAATCAGCCCCCAAAAACTATCGACAAGTGCAGCCGTCCGCTCGTTGTTTCTCTCCCCACACTTAGGGCCAGATCCCACTGGCAAAGAGGATTGGAAGAAATGTGTGAATCTGGACGTGTTCCACGCAGAGGTGCAGAAAAGTAGATCAATCACACTTTTTTGCACCTGTCCACAAACACTTCCAGATTCAGACATTTCTTCCAATCCTCTTTGCCAGTGGAATCTGGCCCTTAGCAACACAAAACCCTGACCGCCGCATCCTCCCATTCAGGGGCGCATCTTCTGACAAACCCCCAAAGTGTGAGTGTGTTCGAAAACAAGGGACCCGGGTATGCCTGAAGCCTCAGCTCGCGTTTCAGCGAGAGCAGCCATCATTGTGGTCCCGCACTTTTTTTTTCTTTTTGAGCAACTTTCTTTCTTTCTTTTTTTTTT